CTTGCATGTTTAGCAAAATGCAATTAATAGGTTTTTTAGAAATGGGGAAAAAAACCTGATAAACAGGAAAACTCTTTGTCATGACCCACTGATCCCTTACTGATCACCAAACTACAAAAAGCAGGCTTGATTTGCTTAGTGCAACAGAAATCAATTCATGACTAGAAGAAATGTCAAACAGAACATTTTTTCATCTCTCAGGTTAATGACTTGACAACCTTGAAAAAAATTCTAATCAAAGATGAATTCAACCTCCTTCTCTTCATTTTTTTAATATGAAAAAATGAGTCAGAGCCATACAAAAAGTACGGTCATGTCAAAGTGGCAGATTTCAGTCCTGTTTCTTACATTCTGTTAAATAGACTTTCGGAAGATTCCCTTTTTCTCCAGTTTACTTTCATAGGCTTTGAGGGATAAGCACTCATGTCTCTAGAGGACAGTAATAGCAGCTTCTGGACAAGGAGAAATGATTGGTCACTTTTTTTGGGGCGGCTGAGTGCCATTTTAAGACCAGATCAAATTGAAGTTTTGAAGAAGAAACTGATCTTGGGTAGAATCTGAATTGAATTGAGAACCCCAAAATAGAGGCCCTGGAGACAAACTTCTGCTAGTAGGGCATCTATAATAATGAAACTTGAGCTGAACTATGTGAAATAAATCTGTTTTGCATCTGAGTTGAGTAATCATTATCTAGTCAGAGCATGAACATTTGTTATTCAAAGAAACTCAGTTTGGCAAGGAAATAATATTTTTCATTTCATTTATGTTTCATAATGTGTGGTGTCTCATTCTAGATGAAGAAACAGCATAAAATTCAGCATTTGAATTTCAATCATGTCTTACAACCTGGGTAAGAACAATTCATGTTTTGGAAAAAATTAACTGTTAATTAAAACATTATTTAAAAGATATAAATCTTTTGTCGGCACTCATGTCTTTTTTTATGAAAACATAAAACATGCTGATTAGTAGATATACATCATATAATTGCCCAAGTGTCTGCAGTACACGTACTTATTATTTAATGGAAAAACCAATCAAAGGTTGTGCGTGGAAATACAAACAGCCCAGCTTGGGCCTTTATGATCCTCAAACACCCACCCCATGGGAGCATCAGTATTGAGAGTCCCTAAGTCTGAGCACAGGCTGCCTGTAATGAATCCCTTGGGATCTCCTCCCATTACAAGGGGCATGGTGGTGTAAGATCCTTCCTGTAATTATGTTGATGTCTTCTGCATATATGTATATACTCCAAGACCGTAGCCTTCAATTTTTGTTTGGGGGTAAACAAAGGCTGCCTTACTCCTTTCGTTCTCTGTCTCCCTAGGAAGAAGTAGTCGTTGGGTTAAAGGCCAGGAGGGCCAAAGGAAGCTCAAATTACTAGAAAAAATAGAGGAGAGCAAGGGAAAGAAGGTTTTACTTTTAAAAAATTTGGGGCAGATTTCTGGGGGAAGTACTGTTTGGAACAGTTTATATCCAGAAAAGGAAAGCAAAGTTTACTCAGAGAGCTAGATGAAAGGAACCAGAATAGACTGGACTTGGCAGATGTTTAAGAGTATGCATACAAAAGGAATAGTCTTCTAAGTTGGACAAGTCTGCACTCTGTATTTAGGTGAGCATATCTGTAATTGCCCAGGTGTATAGAGTTTATACTCTTATCTATTTTTGCTGGAAACAGTGCACCAGAGAGGATGGAGTGCTGGGTTTGGAGTCAGAAAGGCCTGGGTTCAAATCTTGACTCTCAAGTCCTGACTCAGACAGGTTAGCTGTGTGACCCTTTGCAAAATTCTTAATCACCATGGTCTTCAGGCCACTTTCTAGTTCTTATAAATTAAGTCATAGAAGCAAATGGAGAGAATTTCCACACGCTGCCCCTTCCTCCCTGTCAAAATTCCCTACACCGACAAAATGCTTCAAGTATACATTGCCATCACCGTAGTATAATAATTTTTGTTGCCTTGAAGAACTATCATTGCGGTAGTAGTACTACTTTGTACATTGTATGCAGTAGGTGCTTACTAAATGTTGAATTGAATTCAATAATAAGTTACTATGAGGAAGATTATAGGGGATGAGGGTTATAACATCCAAGATCTAGAGCTGGAAGGGACCCTGGAGGGGAAAGGTTACTAATACTCAAAATGATAGTTTAAAAAGAAAAGAAAAAAAGAAAGCCCTAAAATGGTGGCAGCAAAGACCTCTATGCTTCATTCCTTGACATAAGGCACTCTGATTAAGTAGATAGAGGGCTAGACTTGGAATCAGGAAGATATAGATTCAAATCTCTCAAATCCCTATTAGTTATGTGACCTTGAGCAAATCTCTTGGCCTCTCAGTCATCAGTTTCCTCATCTGTAGAATGAGATGATTGGACTAAATGATCACTAAGTTCTAAATTGATTATTTTCCTTTCCCTCCAGCCACAAAAAGGGGCTTTTAGGGAGTCCAGGATCTCAACGTCCTATACCATGGTGTTTGGCCATCCCACTATACCACCATTTTGCTAGCCTATGGTTAAACAGTGGAGGAACTTTCTTAAAAAGGAAGAAAGAATGGGAGGGTCCATATAACTTGCAATCCCTTCCCCCACCCCACCAAAGTGATATGAGGAATCTCTGCTACCAAGATTCTTGGAATACCCTAACTCTCTCCATTTCACTATAAAGAGATGGGCAGGAAAAGTATGAAGTCAATGAAGTTTGCTGTTGATGCTACTTGCCATGCCAAGGAAATTTATATTGGTCCAGATATAATTTAGGTTCTACTAATAACAAAAATTAATCATCTGAAAAAAAGAAATCTAATGACTTTTATCATTTAAAATTATGTTTTTAGGAGAATTTGTGTTTGTAGGGAAACTCTCTAAGACTGTTAAGTTGCAGAACATTTTTAATATGCAATGGTAGATAGAATCCCTTCCCTCACTGGGAATTCTCCAGACTAATGAAATCACAGGTCTGGATCAAAAAAAACAAAACAAAAATAACCCCCAATACTACAAATGCTCTTTAAACATAGCAAATAACTAATGATAATGTATTATTGTTGGTGGCAAAAGATAAACAAGTGAGTGGTAAGCCCAATACAGAGCTGGGACAACCTGGGTTCAAGGCCTACCTCTGACGTCTGGCTATGTGACTTCGGGCAAAAACATTCAACCTCTCAAAGACTCCAGGTAATTCTCAAATACTTTAAATTGCAGAATCCTTGTTAATCTGCATTGGTAGAGGGAGTTTCCTATGTCAATTAAATCACAGGACTGGTTAAAAAAAAGATGGAGGAGGTGAGTGTGCTTTGCACTGTTTTTCTAGGAGTGGTAAAGGATTGATTCTCGTTCTCTCACATATTTCTTCTTGTGACCCATGCCAGGTGCTCATGAGGCAGCTGGTTCAGGCTGGGACCAGGTGCTTGGTCATGAAGTCAACTGATATTAACTGGCCCAAATCAACCATGTTGACCTCATGAACATGATATTCTAACCAACTCTGCTCTCTATTATAGTTAACGTTTGGATGTCTAAATGAATAGAATTAACACATTTGCCATGTCCATACTGTAATCCACATCTACGTTCTTCCCTACTGTGGGCATTTCTACCCGGAGCATAAAATATTGGACAAATAACATTGTCCTGTATTATGCTGACATTGGTTTGAAATGATTACTTAAAATAGTCATGCCATAAAAATGCCCTTTCCCTCTATATATTTATGTAATAAAGGAAATCTCATTCCCTTAAAGCATTAAAGAAATTTTGTTGTTGTTATTGTTTGGTCATTTTTCAGTTATGCCTGACTCTTTGTGACTCCATTTGGGGTTTTCTTGGCAAAATTACTGAAGTGGTTTGCCATTTTCTTCTCCAGCTTATTTCGCAGATGAGGAAACTGAAGCAAACAGATGATTCTTCCTGATTCCAAGCCTGACACTCTATCTATTATACCATCATTAAAGATAGTACACCAAAAAGTATTAGGAAATAGAATTAAGGTGAGAAAGAAATATGTAGTATAAAGGATTGGTTCACAAACCAACTGGAATGGAGTAAACTGTATGCTTTGATATTTTCCCCAATAATATTATTGTGTTTTTTAATAATATAAATTAATTGCTATTAGATAGATGAATGTAGTATGCATGGTAGGGATAGGAAATTAAAACCATGAAATTGTTTCCCTGGGTCCCTAGAGATTTAATTATCTATTATAAGGAAGTGTAAGAGAAATAAGTTAAATTGAGTTCCATTAGGCGCTTTTCTCCTGGAAGTATAGCAACTTAAATATCACATGTACCTTTTTCAAAGTTGATAGGCTTTCAGGTAGCTGTTTACAATATGTTATTCATAATAACTATCTGGGTGATATCTGAAAGATTGTCTGAAACAACATTTTATTGTTGCATATTATGAGAAAAGGGAGGCATTTCCATGGAGACTGGTGTGAACTGTCATGCCATTTACACACATGATTACATTTGGTATAATATAGCCCCTTTGTGGAAATATTTAGAAATGTCTTCTGTGCTGCATCAGATGGAGCTCTGAGTCCTGAGGTAACCCCTTGGTGATTCAAAGATTCCTGCATGGAGCAAGGCCTCCACTTCCCTAAGGATTTCCTGAGATGTCCAGAAGGATAAAAGTCTCAATTTCCCAAGAAAATAAGCACAAAACAGGGGAGCCAACTAGCCACAGGGGAGCCAACTAGCCACAGGCTAGCCACTCAAGGGGATGGTATTTCCTGTTCCCCACGTGGTAGTGCAATAGCTAAGAGAGATATCCATTGGAATTTCTTTTGTGGGTGCAATTAGTGACAGATGATTGGAAAGGAATAAGGGACTCTGCCTTTCTTACAACAGTAAAGAAACCCTGAGTGAGCTCTGGGATAGAGAGGTTTTCCCACTACTCCCATTTCCCACAGAGCTTCTTTCACTGACTAGGTAGAAAAAGAGACACTGTTAATGTGTTCCCAATTAACTGTCAGCAGCTTCTATGACAAGTCACCTACCGTTTGCCATTTGGCTTTTGATCTTTCAGCTTCAAATTTGGCAACTTCTTTACGGTCATGAAAAGATACTAGCAGCTTCCATATGCAAAGCAGGACCACCCCAATAAGAAGAATGGCAAGAGATACCCCCAACATGATCATTGGAATGTTGGGAGGCTTCGGACAATCTGTGGAAACAAAACAAGTCTTGTTTAGAATGTAGATCGTAAGTACATTTCCCCCACTGACAGAGGGTAAGGATTCCCACTCAGGTTTTCTAATTGTATCTTTCATAAAGTAAAGGGGAAAATAATGAGGCTCCATCCTTCTAGTTTAGCTTAAAGATTTTTTTAATGGGTAGGTAATTTGGGGCAGTACATCCCTCTATGTTCAAAATTTTATCCTTAAATAGAAGAAAAAAGAAGAATTTATATATGCTGAATAATTTGAACATTTCCTTGATGGTTGACTCAGTGTTACTTAAGAATTAGCAGTGCATATGGAAAATTAATAGTGAGGATAACATGGTTCATAGGCTAAAATACAAATGTGCAATCCTAAGGATAAGTGGTCAGGCAAACAACTAAATATCCATTTGTCATTCATTCTTGGTTTTCCTTTGCCATACAAAAATCTAGGATCATAGAGTTAATGCTGGGAAGAAATTTAGAGGCCATGTAATCTAACCCCTTCAACTAGTTTCAAGAATACAACAAAAAATTCAAACAAGACAATTCCTCTAAATATTTTGTCCTGGAACTATTAGTGTCTTAGAGCTAAGAGCAAGCATCTATTTAATTCCCTCATTTTACAGATAAGGAAATAAGGGTCCAGACTGATGAAGTGAATCCTTTGAAGACATTTAGCAAGGATAAGAACCCAAGTGTCCTGTTATGTAATCCAATGCTCTTCACATTATACCACTTCCTTTGGAAAGTAAAGAGAAGATCCTGTCTTTCAAATTTTATTCTGTTTCCCCATTACCGAGTGCCATGTGTATGAAGGTACTCTTTAAATATTACTCTGGCTCTGCTAATGATACCAAGGGTAATTTTAAATTCAAATAACCTTTCCTTCTATTAGTCAACTAATATTGATGGCAAAATAAGCAATAGTTCTTACAGTATGCCTTAGAGATATGATACATTTCTTAACAAAACATTGTAACTAAATTCCTCTTTTCCTGGTATAAAAATAGGATGTGAGAAATTATCATGAAAAAAGATCTGCAAAATTCTGCAGAAAGTGATATCAAACATGAAAACCAGTCATGCTTATTCAAATCTTGATCGATTCAATTGAACAAACATTTATTAATGGAATGTAACAGAAAGGGATTTATCAAGTGCTTACTATGTGCTGAACACTGTACTAAGTGTGAGAGATATAAACAGAAAAGTGAGACAGTCCATGCCCTCAAGAAGCTCACCTTCTAATTGCCCAAGACAACATATATAGGATGTTTCAAACAGAAAAACAATTTATACTATTGTAAAAATGAACAGTTCTGAAAGGCCTCAAAACTCTGATCAGTACAAGTATCAATCATGGTTTCAGAGGATGTATGATGAAGAACATTACCCAATTTTGGCAAAGAGATAGGCTAAACTGGACTAAATGGCAGGATGAGACATACATTTTTGTATGTGGCTATATTGGCTAAATGGGGGATTTGTCTTACTTAACTAAGCAAGTTTTGTTTTTCTTTTTACTTTCTACCCAGGGAGGGATGTTGGGAAGGAAAGAAAACAAAGGATTTTTATGAAAGAAAAATAAAAGAAGATTCAGCTTCATTGTTGATGGAAAGGCCAGGAAGTACTTAGGGTCTGGATCTTGGGGATCAATGGCAGGGTAGATGATCCCCAGCTAATGATATCAAGAATAGAGTAGTGGAACCATAGTTTGGGATAGAGTGGGACACTGGGTTACCTCAAGCAGAGATTGGGATGGGGTACTAGAGATTAAAAAAAAACACCAGATTTTCTTTATTTCCTGCTCTCACAGAGCTCACAGTGTAATTTAGGGAAAATGAAATGTATATACACAATGATTACAATTCAAGGAAGGGTGTGATAACTGTAACAGAATGATCTTAGTGGAAATTTCAGTAGAGAGAGAAAACTTTCACATGACAGTTTGAGGGAAGGATTCATTGAGGAGATGGCCCTTGAGGGGAACTCTAAACAAAGGGAAGGGTGTCAAAAGAAAGATACTGTGAGATCGTGGGAGACGACACAAGCAAAGGCATAGAGACAGCACGTGGAAGAGGAGAATGGGGCCAGAAAAGAGTTCAGTTTGTCTGTAATATAGGAATTTAATGAGTAGTGTTATACATATGAGAGAAATATGTCATGCAGCTTCTATGAAAAAGGATCTATAGCAGTTCTGAATCTGGGTGGGCCTAATGACCCCCTAACAGCATGATGCCTGGTCTGCATTCTTTTGTTCTCCAGCCAGAAGATTCATGTTGCCAGTAAATGCCTTGTAAGGGGATTATAAAGAATTAAGTAAGGGACCTAATGAAAAGGTTTGGGTATGTATTGAAGATCTGAAGATTGCATTCCAGCAAAAATAATGAAATAGGGCTGTATTTAATGGGTTAGTGACACCCCATTGAAGCAAGCAGCAGGTCTGTGTGCCATTGAGAATATGTGTGTGTCCTGCTCCAAACCTACATCTCTGACTTAAGTAATGACTGGGGAGGAAGACCCCATAGCAACTGCCTGTAGTAATGAAAACCCAGGGAGAATTGTACCTAAGCACCTGCAGTCAGAATATGAATTAGGAAAGCTCTTCAATACAGGTAAATGGGCTTGGGCAGCAGAAATTATTAGTCTGAAACATCTAAAGTCAAAGTCAATCACATCTACATCTTAAGAAAATATTTTAGTCTAAACATGGTTGAAGGAGAGAGAGACAGATTCAGTCAAGTCAATGAGCATTTATTAAACACCTACTATGTGCCAGCCACTGTGCTGAGCACTGGAATGCAAAGAAAGGCAAAAACCAAACCAAACCTCCTCCCCCAAAAAATAGTCCCTTCTCTTGAGGAGCTTTCCATCACAGACACACAGAGAAAGACAGAGTTAGAGACAGAGACACAAAAAGAGAAAGATAGAGAGGCAAAGAGAGAGAATGCATGTGCACAATATTCATTTCTATCCTTTATGTTTCCTTTTGCTTTTCAGAAACTAAGATTTGGGCAGCAAGAGTGTAGAGGAAAGAGCACTGAACTAGCAGACAGGCTCTAGCCCTGGCTCTTTAACCTACATAGATATTTCTTCACCTCTTTGGCGCTTACTTTCCCCACCTGGACTATAACATCATAGATTTTTAAGGCTGGATGATCCTCGGGGAATATCCAGTTGAACTATGTCATTTTACAGAAAAGTGAATTTCCTGACAACCACACAGGCAACCCAGGGGCAGAGCTGGCAGCTGGGTGGTACAGTGGATAGAGCACCGGGCTTGGAGTCAGGAAGATCCGAGTTCAAACCCAGTCTCAGAATTTACTAGCTGTGTGACTCTGGGCAAGTCATTTAATCTCTGTTTGCCTCAGTTTCCTCATTTGTAAAAGGGGGATAATTGTAGGACTACCTCCCAGAATTGTTGGATCAACTGAGATAATAATTATAAAACACTTTACCTTCCATTAAGTGGCTTGTCTGCACACACACACAGGGGGTGGGGTGGGGTAGAATTTGTTTCTCAGGCAATCCCGTCTTTTAATTTTAGATAAGGCTTCCTAAGGCATATTTTTCATAGAATGTAGCTTGTAAACAGCTTTTTATAACAACTTCTTTTTATAAGAGTAAAAGTATCTTTAGAAATTCATTTCTATAGAATACTTCATTAACATTTATATGAGTTTTTTGCTGAGTATGATAAACTGTTGTATTTTCATTGGTTTTTTTTTAAAAAATTCCTTTTTTGTTTTTCATTTAAAAAAATTTTTTTTTCCTTTTGGAATTAGGTATTGCCTGAAAAACAAGTCATGCTTGTACAGTCTTATATAAAATCAAATAGCACAAAAAGAAATTTATTTAAGACATATTTTGAAGATGACTTCAACTTTAATACAAGCTCTCTGTTTTCATTTTTGTACGATGCCTGTGGGGGGGGCGGGGAAGCGACAGTTATTTTACTAGGACATTGTGAAGTGTTTCTGTGTTTTGTGATCATGTAATTTACTAATGTTTGTAGATTTTTATATCTGTATATTTCTTATGAGCTTTGTTTATTTATCCATTACCTGGATGAAATGTCCATAAGAAACAGTTACAGGAAACAACTGAGGCCTTATTAACTAACCCACATCCAGCTGGAGGGGGGCATAGGCTAGGAAGACTGGGAGGGCAGAATAGTCTAATAGGGCCCCAGACTTAATCAAAAAAAGTGTTTTTAAAGTTTTCTTTGACATTGTTCTTGTCCCAACATTTATATTAATAGAATCTGGGCACCAAGTTATTTAAGTTTTTTTTTTCTGCAACATGTACATTTCTTAACAAAGTTTATTATGGCTATTAACAGTGTTTTATTTCCTGATTCATATCAAATGCTCTTGTATCAAGTCCATGGAATCTAAGTAAACTTAGATCAAAGTTTAAAAAAGTAAAATATTTCAGATTTTGTACAAAAAATTTATAAAGCACTAAGCACAGTGCTGGCACCTAGTGAGCACTATATAAAGGTTATTCCCTTTCTCTGCTTTGAATCATAGAATTGTAGACTGCAAGCTAGAACAGGCCTGGAGGGTCATCTCTTCCAACTCCATCATTTTTCAGATGAGGAAATGGGCACCCAGAGATGCTAAATGACTTTTCCATGGCCGCACAGGTAAGGTAACTGAGCCAGGATTCATATCCACATCTTCTGAATGCAAACCCAACATTCTTTCCCCTCCACTTGGAATCCCTATTACACTCCAACACTCGGCTCAATTCCTTCCCTGATGTTTCCCAATGGGTAGAGCTCTCCCCTGCCCAATCACTTGGTATAAAATTTGTATTTATTTATATACATTTGGGTTTATATACCTCCGGGTTTCTCTCTCCTCCTCTCCCAATAGACAAAGCTCCTTGAAGGTCCAGACTGTTTCACTTTTTTTTTTGTATCCCCAGTGCCCAGCAGCACCTGTTTCCTGCCCCAGTTCATTCACCATCCACATTCCAGTAGATAGAGTGAACCCAATGGAAGAGATGCTGCAGAAAGTTCTTTCCTTCAGTCTTCCTGTCAATTTCCCTTTCTTCTTTTCCCCTCCTGGCTAGATCTTGACTCACTTATCTCATGGGAAGGATTCCAGGGCCCCCATTCTACTCTGACCCTCTGTCTTACTTTCCCTATGGGCCTTGCTCCTACAGTGCTATTGTGGGAGGGTGGTGGCTATTCACCCAGCTAAAATGACTAGATACAATCCTTCTAGTAAGATAGAAGACCTTGCCACTGTGCTCTATGGGCCACTGAGTCTTATAATCTATCCTATCCTTTTGTCCATCTGGCTTTACTATTTTTCTTGCTGCTGTGCTATCCAGATCTCCAGGTATTATCATGGTACCTGTGGATGCACTTTTAGGGATTCCTGGGCATTGCCATCACTTTGCTGCTGAAACCTGATGGGTCTCCAGGCCTTTCTATCCACTCTGAAGATGGGTCCTTATTTATGTATTGTCTTGCCATATTAGAAAATGGGTTCCTGGAGAATAGGGATTGTTTTGCTTTTCTATTTGTATTCCACCCACTTAGCACAGCGTTTGTGAGATAGTTAATGCGCAATAAGTGCTTTTTCATTTGTTCATTCATTAATTCATCATTCATTCATTCCTAATAACTGGCACATAGTAGGTACTTATTGAATAAAACTGAATGAATATGAAACCACTCAATCAGTGTTTATCTGATTACATTTATTTATCTGCAGAATTAGATTTCTTAGAATATCTGATTTGAATTTATATACTAATTTACCTATCTTCTGTATCATTAGTTAAGCTGTTGGTTATCCTTTCCTCTTGGCATCCCCCTGGTTACACTCCCATTAACCATTACCCCAACCCACAGCCAACATTCAGTGTGGTACACCTTGTCATAAGAACCTAATCTTGTTAACCTTTCTCATTAGGAGATCATTTGAAACATATTCAAGCCTTTGAATGAATGTCTCTCCATTCTTTGGAAGGCACACATTCAATACAGCATTACACCAGAAATTTGGAAATGCTTCTTCTTGCAAGTGATGCAAAAATGTATTCAAGTTCTTTTTTTCCTTTTGTAAATAATATCTGTGGCCACTGACAATACATTTAAAGATATTTACCTTTCTGGTTTATGCTATGAAGGACTGTTCTTCCCTCTTTATCTGTGGTCATCAGGAATGTAATAAGGCAGTCATTTTCCCCTTGCAAAGAGCAGGAAACAGAATTTTCCTTTGAGAAATCTGCAGGGAAAGGAGCCATCCACCAGGTCAAATGCAATTTAAACATTGATGAGGAGTAACAACACATGGCATAGATGAATATTAGATTAACACACAAAAGAAAGATTTCAGCAGTTGCAGTATGGGAATTAGAAATATCTGAGGGATAGGAGAGTTTTAATGCTACTTTCAAACTTTTCTCCCCTTTCTCTCCAAGCGAGTTTTAAAGTTTTCCTCATGTTTCAGGAAATGGTTCCAGGTGTCCCCCATCAGCACTGACCATCAAATGCCCCTATCAATCTGCTATACTCTGAATCTCAATGCATTGAAAATACTTCCAAGGCAGGTGCCACCAGCTGCCTGGGGAATAGAAGAGTCCTGATTATAGTAAAGAGTGAGCAGTATATTCTCTTCAGCTGGGAGGTTCTGGAGAATGAAATTCTTTGGGATTACATTTCAGAGGAGATAATTCACATATTAAACTGATACTGATACTTTGAAAAGGGATATTCATTTATTTCACCCACAATGCAGCTCCAGAAGACCAGTGTGGCATGCACTGTCACAAGAGTAAACATAACTTAACAGAAATCCAGGGATTGTGGAAGCATATGATTCAAGGGCCAATGAATAAAGGAGTAACCTGAGCTAACAGTTTGCCCTCCATTTTAGTTGGCCTAGGACCTAATACATTTCTGTAAGAGAATGCAATCCTACTTTTCTCAAACTTCTCCCAAATAGTGAACCTTTCAGGCTGAGCTCATTCAAGAGGAAGGAACAAAAATCTAGTGCAGAAAATGAAAAGAAAGTAATATAATTATACCCAGGCTATGTCCCTTTCTAGTCACAACTTCTAGACCAATGGCTTCTATGTAGGATTTTTTCCCCAGAAACCGTTGTGTTTGATAGTTGTTTCCATAAGACTGGCCTTTATAAACCAGAAGGTTATTTTCAGTGTTTCTGTTACCAAATATGGCTTTTAGGTGACTTCTAATCTGCTTCATTTATTGATTTGTCAATAAAGTTTTCACTCAGCCCTTCTATGTGATTTTTTTCTGATGCCAGAGAGGAATAACTAAATTTTGGTTAACTTTGGACATTTATTTTGTTTGTAACTCCCCAGACTGTTTAGAATGGATACTTTTTTTCCTACTGTATTTTAAAAAGTATAAAAGCTCATTCTTTCAGGGCTAAGGTATGTCAAGCATTATTTACCCACCTTGCCCAAGGACTTGATAAGATCTTAGATCTAGAATGTGACCTAGATCTGGACCTCAGAAGCTATCTCGTCTAACTCCTTCATTTTACAGATGAGGAGCTTGAAGCTTAAACTGGTCACACAAGTAGTAAATATCAGAGTGGGTGATCTGAACCCAAATCCTCCAAACTCAGTGTACTTTTTACCATATCCCACTGCCTCCAGTATGGTATAACAGGAAACTTGTCAAGCAAATTCAAAGTATAAATAAGATTTCAGGGGAGTTACTTCAACTGAGATTATAAACTGATTTTGGAAACTTCATAAACAATTCTTTACTTATGGATAATTAATATAGTATTTATACATTTCTTATATTGTCTTTAAAACAGAATCTAAGAACCTTTTGCCTTTCTTTGTATCTGCAGCATGGAGCAAAGTACCTGGCACATCATAAATGTTTAATAAATGTTTGTTAGCTGACTTTTCTAGATAATACAGATAATACTTTGTTAACTTAATGGGAGATATTGCCTCCACTGGAAAGTCATAGTATTGAATTAAGTATATACTCTATCGCTTCACTTATGTATGGATGCCTCAGTGTGGTGTGGAGCTGACTCTGGATTCTCAAAGGTTCTACCAGTGGAGTACTAGATCAATTCTCAGAGGTTTTACCAATGGAGTACCAGCTCTGGCAAATGGTGCCAAACTATCAAGGGTGTGCTTAGTGAGGCAATTGTCCTAGGACCAATCCAGCTAAAATAGAAGAAGCTTATCACCAGATTGCCTCAAGGGTGTTAAATTTTTTGGCCACAGCAGTTCTTAAAGACTTTCTACTAAATGTTAGAAAGGTTACCATCTTGATTGGTAGTGGGATAACCAATGCTGACAAAATTGTAGATGTTAAAGTGTATATTCCATAATTCAGACTTCTCACTAATTTCAAATAGACATTTGCGGTTATTGAGAAGCAATGACATTTGCTTGTAATAGGAGTTCTTCTGATGAGTTAGTCCCTCTCTCACTTATGGAACTGGTCTTCCTTCTATTTCCTTGTTAAATTCCTCTTAGTATATTTCATCTAAAAAAAGGGAATTGCCTCATGGACTGGGTATCACAGTTCCTCTCAGTTGAGTGATATTAATCCTGTTTTTTTGTTGGAGGTTTTTTAAATGGAAAAATCTGAAGCAAGGGGAGGCTTAAATTACTTTGTCAAGATCATTTAGTTTTAATGGAACCGGTAATATGACCTGTGAGTCCTTATTCCCGATAATGCTTTAATTATTCCAGGACTCGTTTTCACTAAAGTTACTTCTCCAGTTTTAGACTTTTTTTTTAAGTGTTTGGGTTTTGAAATGGGTGTTATCAAATGTGATACTCAGGATTCTAGCCTCTGCTATGAATTTGCATAATTAGCAACTGTTTTCTTTTGTAGCTCCGTGGTCTTCAGGCCTTTTTTTCACTGCTGTGGTAGCCCTCCGCACTACTCCTGAATGTTACAGTGTAAACAAAATTTCAGGCAATGAGAATCAGAAAAAAAAAAGGCCTATGGAAGACAGGTAAAATGGCAGGAATTGGGGGGAGGGAAGAGATGAAAGACTATAAAAGTCCTACTTTGCTGGATTGATATAACCCTCCTTTAAAATCAGAAATTTCTACAAGGGTTTTGAAGTACTATGATAGAGGGATTGAATTTGAATTTATCTTTTGGTAAAGCATAAATAAACACTTTTAAGGCACAATTATCCAGACTTAATTATAACAGCCTATGGCAAAAAGACACTTGCCCAGTAGCTGAGTAACAGCATATGCTAGGCTAATTATTAAGGATGACGATTTAATTTACTTTACTATCTGTAAAGGGGTGGGAAACTGGATCATTAAAATACCTTCTGGGCTTTCAAATATCCTTTACTTATTTTCAAAGTGGATCTTGGTATATTTAGATTTGGAAGGGATCTCAAAGGCCAACTAATTCAACCCCTTCATTTTATGTATGTGCAAAGGGACAGCTAG